CCTGTTATCTTACTGGTTGGCAGTTGCCATGTGCTTTCTACCTCCATTTCGAACATGAGACTAGTATTTGTCAGGTTTCAGGGATCTCCTATCTGCCAAGAACAATTCATTTATGTAAATTATGGACTTGCATTACCTTTAGTTTGATATGCAGAAGTTTAATGAATGCTTTCCGGGCAACAAAATACATTAGTACTCTTATGACCACAGTTAATAGGGGCCGCTATTCTAATTCCCTTGTGGCTGAAAAGGTTCTTGAACTTTTCACCCTACAAATGTTGTGGATTCATTCTGATTTAATTGTAATCTCCCTCAGAGACACAATCCTTCAAAGCTGCTGTGTTGGACTGTCCAGTTGCCATTGATTATACAGAAACCTGCCATCTGCTTTCTTATCATGATGCTGTAACAGAAACTTCTGCTGTTTCTGAGGACGGCCCTGAAAACCATTGATGATGACAGGTGTAGTCAAAATCTGATCATAGAACTGGAAGATCAGATGCCCAGCCACTCTCCCACAGCCACAGTGATATCTTTCATTCTCTTCAAATATATATCCTTCCTCCCATCTTTCATTGGGAGTGATCATCAAATCATTAGCTTCTGTGTCTGACTCTGTCCTTTGTTACAGTGTCTATGTTTTCTCGTTTGTCATATGGATGTTGTTGGGGTCTACGTTAAGAAGTTAGCAAGTAGCACAACAGAAACCACAAACAACAGGGCACCCATATTATCTTTTCTACATTGTATCACAAGAAAAAAGGGCAAGGTCTGTGACTACTTGTTCATATGTAAATTAATACCTCAAATGCCAAAATTCCCAGTAGGTAGTCAAGGCCAGATCTAGTTTTAGTACAGTGGTGCCTCGCTTGACGATTACCTCGTTAGATGAGGAAATCGTTTGATTAGTTTTTTGCGCTCGCTATTGCGATTGCTAAACAATGATTCAATGGGGTTTTTCTGTTTTACGGCGATCGGTTCCCTGCTTTGGGAACCGATTTTTCACTTAACGACGATCAAAAACAGCTGATCGTCAGGTTTCAAAATGGCTGCCTGGTGTGCAAAATGGCTCCCCGCTGTGCTTTAGGACTGATTCCTCATATTACAGGCACCGGAAAATGGCCGTCCTATGGAGGATCTTTGCTGGACACTGAGGTATTTCACCCATTGGAACGCATTGAACCGGTTTTCAATGCATTTCAATGGGCTTTTTTTTGTTTCGCTTGACGAGGATTTCGCTTAACAGTGATTTGAACGGAACAAATTATCCTTGTCAAGCGAGGCACCACTGTACTACAAACCCTCTGAGCCAAAAACCCAGACAGTTAGTTGAAGAGATTTTTATGTTTCATTAATGATAGTTAAAGGTGAAAGGATAAAAAGCAATTAAGATTTCAAAGAGTAATTGGAATGAAGTACAATTTGAGGCAAAGCTAAGGCAATCAAGAGAATATACCAGAAAATAACAAAGTTAAGCAACTCTACCTAATACTCACACATTAACACAGAGTCAGCATAACTCTGGAACTCTGGCTCCACCAACACAGGTGCCTCCTCTTAAGTACCCTTGTTGAGCTGGCCACCATCATCCCCAAAGCATCTGCTGCTCAAAGAGACCAGCTTTTAAGTGGTTCCAGATCTCTGCTTTAAAATGTAGCTGCCAACTGACAGTGACAACAAGGATGAGAGAGAAAGAGAGCCGCCGCCAACAGGGAATGGAGGTGAGGGGACAGCATGCAGAAAGGCAGAGCAGCGGTGGTGGTGATGTTTCTTCTGCCCTCCACCCATGGGAGTGGTATGGCCCACCACTGGTGATGAGTGCACATTGTGGTAGCTCCCCTGAACACACATGACCTGGGGCGGGGGAAAAGGTTACATTTAAAAAAGCCTTAATCCTACTTTAACATCTAAAATTATATCCAACCCAGATCGTGCAAAGATTGTCTGGTTGTTTTTCGGTACCCAAAGATCATCCGAGCTCAGTCAGGATGGAAGGAGCTCTGAGTTCACTTTTGCATTATTTCAGATGGCAGGCCAAATTTTCATAGCTTTCCAGTTAACAGGAATTGTGTGGACTACTTTGAGTGAAATCCAGCTGGCTGGATAGCTCAAGAGTGGGAGCTCTCAGCCAGGGGTTGAGAATTAGATTTCCCCGTGTGCCCCCAGGAGAAGAGCCAGCCTGTGTTGCCTTGCGCCAACTGCACTGTTCCAGGGTACACCCCCCCAAAAAAGGGTCTGGTAAATCACCTCTGAGTGCTTTATACCTAGAAGACTTTAAATTAGAGAGCAATTAACTTAATGACATGCAATTATTACTTATTGTAATAAAAGTATATGGATTTTGAAAGGTGTTTTATGGCCAGCTGTACCATCTCTGCTCTTTCTTTTTAAAAAAAAGTAAATGTAGATGTTTTAAAAATGATTACACTTTCCTATCCCAATTGTACTACTGTGAAGAAGGATACGTGTCTCTACTGGAACATAAAATAACAGAAAAACTTGCAGAGACAGAAGTTCAGCATTAACTCTGGGACTGATTGGGCTGCATCACGTGCTATCCAACGCTTTTTGTGGGTGAGGCTGGCCATTGACCCTGGGACATGTCGCTTACAAACACTGAAATCGTCTTCTGAATCGTGGCCCTACCAATGAGATCTGCCCACAAAACCTGAACATGACCTCCTTTTGTTATGAAAGAAAACCCTCTGTGTACACAGCCAAGTTGCCATTTCAGCAGTTTCTTAAGTGGCTCTTAATCACTGAGAGAGTGAGCTGTCATTTGCAAATCTAGTCCTTACTGGGTGTGTCCCAGCTGACCATCAGCAAGTCAGTTCTCAGTCTCTTCTTTGCAGTAGCAGGCTCTTATATTACTGACCTGACTACATGCAAGTAATCATTATGGCTACTAAGAAGTAGTGGGGAACCAGAGAAGAAAAAGTTGGGGCTCTGAAGATGTACTTTGTTATTTACTAAAACCCCAAGGTGTGTAAACTAGAGCATGGAGCCAAACAAAATTAGCTCAGAATTAAAGGGAAAGGGTGCAGTGTTATGCATACTGAGTGCAAGGATCTTTACCAAAAATGAACTTGAGAGCACAAAGCCATTCTTACTTTTCTGCCTCCAGCTTTTTAAAAGAACTGTCTAATTTAGGGCTGGAGAGAAGGGGTTTTAGTTGTCGCTGCTGTTAGACAACTGAGAGTTTGCAACCCTTGAATGAAGAGCTAGTGCAGATCACCAAGAAGAGATCTACCAGCAATTCCCCATTTATCTTCTCCCTTGTATTAACATGAACCATTCTAAAGGCTAAGGGATATTAGTAGAGGAAAACGCCATTTAGTACACTTGTCCAAGCATAAGAAACAGATACTATTTAGATTTTATAGGCAGTAAAAAATAATATGGGGACTGGATGGCTGTTGTTTTGAGAAAATTTATTTATTTTATTTATTTGATTTGTATCCCGCCTATCTGGACTACCAGACCACTCTAGGCGGCTATTCATGTTACAAGAGATGGAAGTTGTTTAAGGTTTTGAGCAGGGAAACAAATTGTAGGTGTTTTCTTGACTAGAGAGATAGAGGCTGCCAGCAAAAGAGGTGTCATTACACACACACACACACACACACACACACACTTTTCTCCCCATGGGGAACCCAAGGGGGATCACAACAATTAAAATCATTCTTAATGATAAGTTTAGCTATAATGTGTCCCTTTACATTCAGTAGCCACATGTTATTTAGAAAGTGTTTTTTAAATGTCCTGCCTTTATTCTGATGTGCTTTGGAACTGCCAATCACAATCAAGCATTCTGTTTATATTCTCTCTTTTTTGTTACTTCAAAGCTGTTTACTAGTTTTTAAAATATCTTTGTTACTGATCCCACCGAGGATTCCTGACTCTTCAACCGAACAGGAACATGAAAATCCACAAGCAACCCCCCTCATCAAATGACACCTACTAATATATTTTAGTTCTGCTTCTTAAGTCGTTCTTCTCTCACCAAGCCCAGCAGCCTACTCCCACCTGGGTGAAGAAGAGGAGTTTTGTAAACTGCCTCCTTATGCTTTTCCTCTTCTCTTGCAGCTTGTCTTCTTCAGGCTGAGCTGGTGAATTATGAGCGAGTCAAAGAATACTGCCTGAAAGTACTGAAGAAAGAAGGAGAGAATGTCAAGGCACTCTATCGGTCAGGTGTAGCCTTCTACCACCTTGGAGACTATGACAAGGCACTTTACTACTTGAAAGAAGCACGCTCCCGACAGCCAGCAGGTACTGGTAGTAAGGAGAGGCTGCTCCCAGGTTGCATCTGTATCAGTGTTCTCATCTTTAGAAAGGGGTGGTGGGTGGGTCCCAATCCTATTCACATTTTGTACCCAGAAGCATTTTTTATGTGTCCAGGGATGGCCATGGTGTGTGAGGTTACGCGACTGATTGCACAACCCAGGAGAAGACCAGTTACCTGATCTACAGCCTGGGAAAATCAGCACTTGCACCATTGCCCTGATGCAGTTGCATGAGACAGTGGTATTCCAGCCAAAATGTTTCTGAGAGGGGCACAGTCTTCTCCCCTCGTCTCTCTATGTTCCTTTGCTGCACTTTGTTAAGCAATTTATTAAATGGTTGTTGTGCGTTTTTTCGGGCTCTTTGGCCGTGTTCTGAAGGTTGTTCTTCCTAACATTTCGCCAGTCTCTGTGACCGGCATCTTCAGAGGATAACACTCTGTGCTCTGGGGTAGTTTGCTTTGGAGTGCTGTCCTCTGAAGATGTCGGCCACAGAGACTGGCGAAACGTTAGGAAGAACAACTTTCAGAACACGGCCAAAGAGCCCGAAAAACCCACAACAACTATTAGATCCTGTCTGTGAAAGCCTTCGTGAATACAATTTATTAAACTTCAAGGGACTGCCACTCATAACGCCAATCCTGTGAGGAGTTTTTTTTTTGTCCCTTCCCCCTAATATTTAGGACCAAAGTATTCATTATAGGTAGCCTATAATTAGAAACTTTCAATTCTTTAGTGTTTGAAAAGATGTGAATCAGGGAGATGCCCATGGCTGAGTAATCAGAGATCAAAACAAAGCAAACTGATTTGCAAAGGATAAGATGTATGGAAATCCGATATTTTCAAAACTAAAGGAATTCTCTCTTCTATCTGTAGCATACAGTTTGGCCCTTATATCTCATGAAATTATTTCATAAATATTTGCATATGCAAGATCATTGCATAGTAAGGCTTCCTGCACTACTAGGGTCTGTTGAAGTAGAGGCAGGGGGACAGGGTAATGGTAACTCAGCAAAGGTAGGTTGTTAAGAGGAAAGTAAGTTGGGCTGTCACTTTCAAGGTCTACAACATAGTTCTGCACTATGATCATAGTACTGTTTCGCAAGAACAGCTAGAATGTTCACAGATAGATCTTCAAGCGCTTTCTCCAAGATCTAAGTTTGACCAATTGCACTCTGAGTAACGTCAGGTTTCTAAAATAGTAGATGAGGATGAGGTGGCCTAAGAGAAGGGGGATAGGGGAGGGGGGAGAGTGAGTGAAAGAGATGGCAAAAAAGCAGAGGAAGGAGGGGTGGCCCCCAACAAGGCAACCACTGAGTGGTGTGGTTCTCAACTGAAAAAGACACACAAACCTCCCAAAATAAACCATTTTTAAAATTAAATTTATACCCCGCCCCTCTAGACGATGTCTACTCGGGGCAGCTTACAACATAAAATGGACAATATAAAATATAGATAATCATAAAATACAATTAAAATATTAATACAATTGCATTAAAAGTTAGCAGAGTGGAATATGAAGGGAGAAAGAAAAAATAAAAAACTTAGCTGACTGGAGGGAAGCCCTGCTTAAATAGCCAAGTTTTTAACTGTTTTTTAAAAACACCCAGCGAGGGTGCCAGCCGAATTTCTGCTGGAAGGGCATTCCACAGCCGAGGGGCCACCGCCGAGAAGGCCCGGTTTCTAGTTTTTTGCTTCCGAGCCTCTCTCGGCATCAGACCCCTCAGCCGTCCCTGCTGGCAATGACGGGTGATTCGGGTACAGCTGGGTGGAAGAAGGCGGTCTGCCAATTATTGAGGTCCCAAACTGTTTAGGGCTTTATAAGTGATCATTAGCACTTTGAAGTCGACACAGAAACGGATGGGTAACCAGTGTAGTGCAGCCAGAGTGGGGGAGATATGTTGGTGTTTTCTCACCCCACTAAGTGCTCGTCTTTCGGAGAAACTCTTTGATACTTGTCTACTTGGGAAATTTAAAATGAAGATGACAAGGACTGAACTTGGGACATAATATGAATTTGTAATCTATGTAACCACTGACTTATGGCTTATGTTTTAAAGCAGGGATAGTCCTCTAGCTGTTGGCTGGGCTTCAACTTCTTTTATTATTATTATTTATTTAATTCATATCCCGCCTATCTAGTCGTGGTGGACTACTCTAGGCGGCCACTCTAGTCCTCAACAGCATTGCAAGTATCAAGGAATGATAGGAGCTGCTTTACAACATTTTGCCCACCTCCTTTTTAAAATTGAGTTAATCTGAGCCAAAATACATCCTTGCTGCAGTTCTAGCAGAGGGTTATTGATGGTGTAAGCCAAATGGGTGGGTGTTCCTCCTGTGGGAATGATACCGTGAAGCCATTACACCTCTTATTTTTGAATTTAATTATTGACTAATGTTTCAAACTCTGCAATGTGTATCTGATTACAGCTCATTGTACCCTGAGGAAACTTTAAAATTTAGGTTAAATTGAGTTTATATTTGAGCCATACAACCCCATAACTCTGGGCAGATGACAGCTAGGTGTCAAAAATAGTTTATGATCATAGATATCAGCTTTAATGTTTGGAGGACAACTGTGTTAGATGTTTAGGCATCAACCCAAGCCAAGGCCAAATAATATTTCTCAATTCCTGGGAAATGTAATTGAATTTCTAGGGCTTCAGAAGTGTAGCAGCCTAGTCACTAGTGACATATGTAGATCAGGGTGTCCGGGCAACTGGGCCTTTGCTCCAGAATGCTTAATTTACAAGGTGTCTCCTTCCACTAGAATTCAAAGACTAGTCTGGCAACCTGGGAAAAGACAATGGTAGACCAAGCTTCTAGGGCAAACTGCTGGTTTTCGGCAGACTACATGGCCAGAAAACCAAGCAGAGAAAAGGGAGGTGGTATACCAGGCACCTTGCTGAGGTTATGGAGGGCACGTTTATCCAAGCAATATGTATTAATGAGAGAGAGAGACTGTTTTTTTATTAGTTTTTGTAGCTCTGACAGTGCTGCTAATCCCCTAGTGGAAGGGGAGAGATGCTAGCTATAGCTGTTCAGTGCAGTAATTATTTATTTTACTGTTTTCATGTACCAGATTACAAAGTTGATTTGTAATTAAATAGTTATAGCTATGCTAGTGAAAGTAACTCATATGACTATTAGTAGAGGTTCAAGCAGAACAGGGAATAAAGCACTATCCAAGTTACCTCAACACTGAGAACTTTAATTTCCCAAATCTGCAGGCCTACTAACAAAAATAAATTTCTCCACTCCCTAGAAAGAGGGAGAGAAGATATTGAGAGTCCAAGGATACATATATAGACACCTCGAATAGCCTAAATATATGCAACCTCCCCCCCTCCCTGGGGTGTGTATGTGTGTACATGTACATGCATTTGGAATGGGCAGATTGCAGCCTGGAGATGTTTTGAGGCCTGAAATAACCCTTTTAAAATAAACTGGAAGCAATCTGATTCTAAAAAATGGCCTCTTCTAGTCTAAAACAACTCTGGACAACAGGAGATAGTATTTATATGGCAGGTCATGTCCCTCTCCGAGGCTTCAAGAAATTGTCCTTGTTCTTCCTGTTCTTTTATTGTGATTTCTCATCCTCCAGGTCAGTTACAGATTTGCAGGCTCCATATAGCTGTAAAAATGACATTCAGGAAGATGAGGCTTATATAGGGCCCCATAGGACTTAAAGCACTCTTTGGGTTATTTATAATTTAATTATGCAGGCTACAGATTGCCTCCTCCCCCCTAGCAAACTGGGTATGAGTTTAATAACCTTGAAGGATGGAAGACACAGTGAATCTTGAACCAGCTACCTGGAATTGAACCCAAGTTGTGAGTAGAGTTTTGACTGCAGTACTGCAGTTTAACCACTGTGCCAAGTCTCCCCATTCCCATGTGCCTCAGCAGGTTACTGATGATGTAAAAACTGACACAGGAGAACATCAGATCTGTGACTAGGTGGGGAGCAACTGCTGATAAGAAGTGATGGATCAGGATCTTAAAAGTCCAGCAGGGTTGAGGTCAGGGTCCCCTTCAGCAAAGGACAACTCAAGGCCAAACACTTTTCTGTTTTCCAGAAGTCACGCAATGCATTTGGGCCTGGGCTGCCCTCCTAGCATCCCAGAAGGCATTCTGTTTCCATCTGTTGTGTTTGAGCAGGATGCTGCCTGGAGCAGTTTCCATTTGGCTTGAACAGCTGCACACCCTAGATTTGCTCTGCCAATGTGTTTATATACCCTTCCAGTCAGCCAAGCTCGATTAGAGGTTGCTGCCATCCCACTCTGTATCTCAATTAGCCACAGGAAATGCCTAGTCTCATCAAAATAAAATCAATTAGAGGGCAGCGCAGAATTATTTTCTTCCTGAGGCCTACATTAGGTTCAGGTGCTGATCAGTGCTAACCATTCTGTACTTCATCACAATGACAGCCTTTATATATTTCTGCAGTTTTTTTTCTTACATCTAACAATCCACTTTTCTCCATTTATAAAAAATGCAGCCTGGTATTTTTTTTAAAAAAACAATAAATTGCTGCCAAACAACATTTTTCATTTAAAATATTAAAGATTAAATGTTTTTCCTCAATACCACAGTTTTTGGCAAAAATGTTTACAGAGTGGGATGTCTTTTTATCTAGAGGACAAGGAGATTGAGCAGGGGGTTGGACTTGATGGCCTTGTAGGCCCCTTCCAACTTCACTTTTCTATGATTCTTGTGAGATGTGATCTGAAAACCAGGTTGGGGAGAGGGGCCCACCTGTGGTGCTGTTTTTCAAATTTTTGGGCCAGTTGCCAGTTTGGGTGTGTGTTTGTACAATTTGGAGCAGGTTCCCAAGATTTTTGAGTACGAGCCAGCAACATTTTTTTCCCTATGCTTGAACTTCAGCTGTCCCACGTCTTGCCCTGCCTAAGGGAGTAGCTATTTGGAACGGGGATACCTGCCTCTAGGCTGATTACGGCACAAGTGATCCTCCCCCTCCTGGGATTT